ATGTGGACGGTCGTATTGACATTCCTTCTCAATTATACCTAATTTAGCCTAAAACCTGAAAAGCACTTGCTATTTTTTTTAATCCGTAGTGGAAAAGAAAAGCTGAATATATTTTACCTTATTCTAGCAGGTCTGGACAAAAAACTCGTGATGCAAAAAATACCTCCGACCACTTCTTTCTCAATCGAATATACACATTTGGCTGATAAAGGAAAGATTTTATTGAATTTAAATAAATTTGATAGTGGAAATTAGTTTAAATTAATTTATTTCAAATAAACCCTAAATATTCTTACCTTTTAAATTAATTCAAATCAATTTTGAGCGTTGAACTTGCTGTAAAATAAATTATTTTAAACGTATCTACATTAATTTCGACTCTCAAAATTAATTCGAATTAATTTATATTATCTAAATTATTACAAATCTATTACAAAAACATTTATTGAAATGAATTTGAGAATAGAAATCAATCTGAAGCAATTTAAAGTACGATTCGAAATAAATTGATTTAAATCAGTTTAGTCAAAATTACTTTAAGTTAATGTTTTTTCAAACTAATTGGGAGTAATTTTAGCCTAGAAATTAATTCTAGTTGATTTTAACTGCGAAATTGGCGTAAATTAATTTACTGCAAACGAATTTAAATATTTTAAATTAATTCCAACTAATTTCTGACCCAAAAGGAGATGAAAAATTACTTCACATCAGTTTAAGAGGCCAAATTGATTTCTACAAGACACTAATCCTCACCGGCATTAAAAATAAGTGAATCAGCTACAGAACTACGTATCACTGATTAAATAGTTGGTCATTTGAATTGAAAATTTTGTGAAATTGTTGTTGAAAATTTTCTCATAAAACGAAAACGGTCAGCATACGGTTCTGTGATAAAAACTGTAACCTCGAATTAAAATAGTACGCGTTTTTTAAAGTACACATGTATGTATTTAATATAGTATGCTGTTACGAATAAGATAATCTTGTTAAACTTTTTACGATATCGGATTGTTAATCAAGATTAAAATCAAAACTTGCTGATAGAAATTTATTTTGTTTAAAGCACTTCAAAGAAATTTGAGTCTATAAATTAATTTAGACTGATTTCCAGTGCCAAATTAATGTATATTATTTTCTTTAGATCAATCTAAATGAATTTGTAGATCGAAATTCATTTAAATTAATTTTCAATCAAAACTTCGTTCCAACCGATTTAACGAAAAATAATATACATTAATTTGGTGGTAAAAGGACCGTACCGAATTTGAAAATTACAACAAACCAACAAACCGAATATATGGTTTTATAGAGAATTTTACGGCGCATCTTTAGTCCTTTTATTTTTATTGAGTTCTTTTGCACAAACAGGCTAACAAAGTACACCGTTCGATTCAGTCTGCGACGCTGATTCCAAATATGCTGTTTTTATTGCGTAGAAGGTGAGTTCTGATGAATACAATTGAGAATTAAGGGCACAATTCCGATTTCTGCGCTCCTGATTTAGAAAATATGAACTACCCGAGTGACAGAGCACAGTGAAAAAACAAGTGATATGTACTTTTAAAGCTCGTTCAATCGCGGTTCTAATGAAGTGCAAAAGTCGGCTTCATCTCTTCAAAGAAAAAACCAGATAGGTTTGCAAAATTGTTTGTGAACCTTTTATAGTCCAAGATTGATTATTATTTTCTTTTTCTATATTCGTATAATATACCATTCGATTTTGCTTTGTCTAGAAGCCCCCTTGCAGAGGTCGATGTGAGAAATGTATTAGAAGTCCCCTTATTTGAAAAAAAGTTTGAAATTTTTTCGGAAAGTTTTATTAGTATTTCTGAAGTAAAAACTGTCAAATTTTCAGGATTTTAAGGTAAAAAATCGTTAAAATTTTACATACCAACATCAGAATCTCGAAATCCTCTTGAAATCCATTCGAAAAGCTCCGAGAAACTATAGAAAACCCTAAAAACGTGTGAAAAATAGTGGGACCTGTTGGAAGCCCCCCTAAAAATTTTGAACGCCTGGACAGTTTAGAAGCCCCGGGGCTTCTATTACGACGGGGGGGAGGTAGATGTAAAAATTAACTTTTTTAGAGTATTGCAGAGCTTTTTTTAATGTTTCGAAGTCTGTGTTATTTAACTGCAATAAATATTTCGTTTTGAGAAAGACTTTCATGAAAACGTATGCGGTTATAGGGGAGGGGGAGGGTGAGTTCTCTTGAATAAAAAGTTCTAGGGTCCCATTTGTGTCTTGCGGACTAGACGAAAAACTCGTTTTCTCTTCCCAAAACACGAAAAAAACACCTCGTGGATATTTAATGGATCATCCTCTAAGAATGCAAGAATTCTTAAAATACGTATGGGAGGAGGTAAACAAGAACTGTCCGAGTGGATGAGACAAAAAATGAACAACATTTTGATATGAAACAAAAATGAGCTAAAGCATACTTTCTTTTCTCGGTGTTATAAGTGGCGTTATTGAACGCTGAGACTGGTATCGTCATAAAAGTTACCTTATCTAAATCGAAAGCCCTTGTAAAGAGACATCCAACCGAACCTTTTAATGCTTTCCAAAAGGATAATTCCTCTAACGGGATCAGTAGATCAGACTCAGTCATCCACCATCTGTCGTTTTAATGAAATACTTTCCTAAATTAAATGTCAAAAGCGTTTTTTGGCGTAAAACCTGGCTTGATCTTTTAAAACTTGCGAAATCTACTTGAATTCGACAGTGGTAGTTCGTGAAACTTTTATATTTCTTGTACCTTAGACCTGTCACCATTGGCAAAAAGATTTTAAGCGCACATGTCTTTTCCAAAAAAGTTAAACCCATACTTACTCGCAATCACCTCATGAACATTACTAAAATCATAAAAAGATGGAAGATGTACAACATTCTCTCTTCACAACAGAAAAATATAAGTTTAATTATAAAATTTATTCGTTTGTGTCATAGTTCGTTAGTAGAGAAATCAGAACAAACAACCCTGTCACTATTTTCATAGTGGAACAACAAATCGAACGTTTCGTTAATTCAAGGAAATTGCTCAGCTTTATCTAAAACTAATTTGATACCAATATTCAGAATAATTTCATATTGTTTATTGATAATCATCATGATATTCTGGATCGTATAAATATGTTCCAGTTTGTGTTTGTACAATCTTTCCTTCCTTCATTTAAGGTTACCTGCGTTCACCGGAATGTTTCACAATATTATTATTCGACCGTAATTTCGGCTCTGCTTTCCTTGATTATACGGTTGGGGTAACCCTGTCTCATTTCAGCATGTATTCTCGTTTCCTGGGCGTCCAGAGGTATACACTTTGATTGTACTTGGCCTCCCATGGCTTCACAAATAGTAAAAATAAAGTGAAAAAAGTCATACAGGAATAAACTTGTTGTTTTCGAATATGGTGAATTGAAAGGTCACTTTTCTTTCTCGTAGGTGGTTGTTCTGATACACCCAACTGGTATAATGGCTATGCGGGCGCTAACGGTGGAAAACGTTTCACCTGTAAGGAATATGCCACAGCAGGCTCAGACCGACGAGGTTCACCATGGTGTTCAAACGGACAAGTAACACCCAGTAGTAATTGGACAGTTGGAGTTAAATATAATTATCCGGAAAAAAATTGTTGTGCTTGTAAAGATATGTACTTAAAAGAGAAGAATACCAAAGGACGCTTGGAAACGCATCCCTGCCTGAATAAGCTGACGTTATATTTTCGAATTAACAGAAGTTATAAATCAGAATCACTTAGATTCTATAGCTACACTCCAGGGAATTTAGGGCGATTAATTCCATCACTGGTATATGTGCCAGCTCCTTTCTGGGTTTAGAAAGTGTAAACTTGTTTGTACTAGCCATGAGTATAGATTATGACAGTGGATGTGATAGACCATTACGAAAAATGGTTGTCTCGACTGAGACGAGAGGCTATAGCACTTTACTGATTGTACCTGGATCACTCAGCGAACTCATATAAGGCAATTATTAAGAGTGGTGCAATGACCCATATGATGGCGGCAAATAAGAAAAAAAGACATTAACATCGCACAGTGCACAATTCAAACGAGTTAGCGAATGACATTTTTTTATTCGTTTCACGTGTGTTCTATAAGGTACTCCACGTTTTTCAAGAAAGCGTTTCCGTAAAGCAGGCTTTTTTTCAGAATAGAAAGTTCTTTCTTTCGCTTTAGCTGACTACTCTAGTCCACTTTTCGTAATGAAGTCCCCGGTGAATCCCTGGTGAGTCCCCGAAATACGCAAAAACCCTAGCGAGTTCTCAGAGACTCCCTTAAAGTCCCTGGTGACTTCATGATTTTCAGTGAATGGGGAGAAATAATGAAGCCCCTGGTGATTCACGGGTGACTCTCTAGGGATCTCGTAGGCAGCATGTACAGGGTTGCCAGATGTCCCCCCATAAGGGGGACAATCCCACATATAAAGATTTGTCCCCCGCGAAATTCGTCCCCCCGGATGTCCCCTTTTCAAGGATTTTCTTCCGATTGTCTTAAATGCACTTTTTTCACTTCTGTACTACACTTTCATTTCAACAGATCTTTAGCATTTAATGCCTTTTCTTATGTGAAATACAGTCTGCATGAGAGATATATCTGCCTATAGACCTATGCGATAACAGGAAAAGGATAATTTTTTTCTGTCTTTTTTTGTACACGCCTTTCAAGATGCACGTTCCAAATAGAAGTGAAAATAACGCTGTACGCAGTTTTACTATACTGTAAGAAATGAAACAAGAGTCGAATACAACAACATTTTCATCTTTGTACAAAGTTTTTAAGTTCAAATTCTCATTATCTTCCTCGAGCGAAATGTCTTGTTTTTCTGCTTATCTAATTACTTTTAGATAATTAATGTCCGATTTTAAAAATAAATGTTCAGAAAATGTAAATAAAAAGCTTTATCTCAGCGTTTTATCTTGTCCCCCTTTGTAGAAGAAAAAGTCCCTCTTATGTCCTTCTTTTTCCTAGATTTGTCCCCCGTTATTTCTTTTTTAGTTGGCATCCCTGATGACCAGCTTCTCCCCTTTTTTTTGACAAATCTTCAACTAAAACATTCATTTTGGCTCGTTGAGATGTAAGACGGCTCACTACTCTCTTTATAACATGATTAATGCAGTCTTCTTTTTGTACCAAAAATTTTTCCGATGTTGGCTGATCATTGGTGTTCTCTTTATCTTCATCCTGCTGTTGTATGTACGTATTTTTTACCATTTCATAGGCTGAAGCATCACCATCACAAACAAGGTGTTTGTAACGAAAACCAGGTTCTGTAGATCTTTCAAAAATACGCCCAGCACCTTCAGCTTCCATTCCTAAAATCAAAGGGTACAGTAAAAAAGTACCAAGAAAGAGACCTCGTTCCTACCGCTACGCACCTTTAACGGTCCCTGAGTAATTTTTGTGACAATTTTCACTGTGTGCTGAATACCATTTAGCAAATAAAGACGGTGACAACGTTCTTTTTTTGGCTTCACAGCTTTCACATCTAAGCGACATAACTTCATAATCTGGCGCGTACCCCGAATCAATGTCAATCACAAACACCACACCTATAGGAAAGAAAGAGAGACAACTGCACTGACGCTTTTTAGTAACATCCCTTTATAAATACCATAATTCGAGACATGCCCACGTTTTTTCCACGAACCATCGAGAGACACCGTAACTCCCAAAATGCCGTCCGAATCAAGCTTTCTTCCGAGCAGGAGTAGAGGAAGCAGAAGTTCACCTGTTAGAACAGCAGCTGCATAAAAACGCAGATTTGGCTGTTGAACAGATGTGGAGACAGGTTCTACTACTGGGAAATTGGTTAAAGGGGTAACTTTTCGACACTTCGTACACCTAAGCTCATTAGTATGAAAAAGACCGTAAGGTTGTTTAACATCACAAATAACCTCCAGGCGTCCCTCTGAACAGACGTGAGCATTATTAAATTCTTCTTGCAGATGATTCATTTCAAATAATTGTGTCGATGCATGATTTGCTTCTCGAGATCTGGCTCTAGTAACAATAAATAAAGAAGAAAACTGTCAACCACAAATCGAAAGCTAGTT